CAAAAAACAGATCTACAAACCAATTTCTCTAATGAAGATAGATGCAAAAATCTTCAATAGGATACTGGCAAACAATGCAGAAGATCATACACCCTGACCAAGTGGGATTCATCCCAGTGATCCAAGGATGGTTCAACATATGTAAATCAATACATGTAACACATTACGTTTACAGAGTCAAGGCCAAAGACCATATGATCATCTCAATAAATGCAGGAAAAGTGTTCAACAAAATCCAACACCAATTCATGATAAAAATCCTACAGAAAATTGGAATAGTCAGTCTCTACCTCAACCTGATAAAGGCCATCAATGAAAAACCAACAAGCAGCAGCATACTAAAATGGTCAAAAACTGAAATCTTTCACACTAAAATCAGGTACAAGAAAAGAATGCCCAGTATCACTCCTGTTCAATATAGTTCTGGAAACATTATACACAGCAATTAGACAAGAGAAAGAAATAAAAGAATAAACATAGGAAATGAAAATTTTAAATTGTCATTATTTGTGTATCACATGATATTCTATATAGAAGACCTCAAGAACTCTACCAAAGATTTCTAGATTTAATAACCAAATTCAGTAGAGTAGCTGGATACAAGGTCAACACTCAAAAATCAATAGCCTATCTGTACATGAATAACAGACTTACTGAGAGAGGAACTGAGGAAACAATTGGTTTTACAATAGCATCCAAAAAAATGAAATACCTAGGAAGTAAAAGATCTGTACACTGAAAACTACAGCACTCCGAAAAATGAGATCAAGGAGGACATCAGAAAATGGAAAGACATACCTTGTTCTTGGGAAGGAAGAATCAATATAATTAAAATGGCCGTTCTTCCAAAACTGCTATATAGATTTGATGCAATCCTGATTGAAATTCCAACAGTATATTTCACAGAACTATAGAAAACAATCCAAACATTCATTTAGAACCAGAAGAGACCTAGAATAGCAAAAGCAATTCTATGCAATGAAGAGAGGGCAAGGGGTATCACAATCCCCAACTTGAAACTATTGTATAGAGCTACTATCAAAAACAGCATGGTACCTGCAATGAAACAAACATATGGATCAAGGAAATGGTTTAGAACATGCAGAAACAACTCCACACATAGTAAGCACCTCATCTTTGATGAAGGAACCAAGCACCTTCTTTGGAGAAAAGATAGCCTCTTTAATAAATGGTGCTGGAAAAATTGGGTTTCAACTTGCCAAAGATTAAAACTAGATCTAGATCTCTCACCATGCAATAAACTAAAATGAAAATGGGTCAAAGATCTAAATATTAAAACAAACACTAAACATGCTGGAAGATAACTTAGGCAGAACTCTTGAAGACATTAGCATTTATTTGAAGACATTTACGAACAAAATCTCAGTCACATGTGAACTACCACAAAGAATCAACAACTGAGATCCCATCTCATTAGAAGTCTTTTGCACAGCAAAAGAAACCACCAATAAAGTGAAGAGACAACCTACAACGTGTGAAAAAAATGTACCAGTTGTTCCTCAGACAAAGGACTACTACCTAGAATACATAAAGAACTTAAAAAAATAAGACCTCCCAAATTTAATGACCCAATCCAAAAATGGGCATCTGAATGAAAAAACATTTCTCAGATGAAGAAGTAGAAGTAATAAACACGAAAAAATGTTCAACATCATTGTTCATTGGAGAGATGGAAATGAAAACAATGCTGAGATTTCATCTCACTCTGGAAAGAATGGCTGCTACCAAGAAAGCAACCAATAACAAATGCTGATGGGGGGTTGGGGAAAAAGAGCCCTTCTCCACTGTTGGTGGGAGTGTAGACTGGTGCAACCACTGTAAAAATCTGTTTGGAGATTCCTCAAAAAATGAGGATTAGGGGCCAGGGATTTAGCTCAGTGGTTTCACCACCTGCTGTGCAACCACAAGGACCCAAGTTCAATCCCCCATACCAAAAAAACAAAACAAAACAAAGATTAGAGGTTCCATTTGACCCAGCTATATCCCTTCTTGGTATCTTCACAAAATAATAAAAAGTATCATACTACACACACTATATCTGCACCCATGTTTACACCAGCAAAATATATGGTAGCTAAGTCTTGGAAACAGCCCAAATGCCCATCAACTGGTGATTGGATAAAGAAGGTGTTTTTTTTTTTTAATAAAATAGAGTATTACTTGGCCATAAATAAAGACAAACTAGAGACATCTATAGCTAAATGAATGCACCTTGAGGCCATACTCTTAAGTGAAATATACAGGATACACATTTTTAAATATCTAATTGTTTCTTTGGTGTGAAAAATCGAAAGTATAAATGAGAACCAAAATATGTAATAGATACTGTGAAATAGGAAGAAAATGTACAAAGGGAAAGAGCAACTTGGGGGTGAAAATAGGAGGAAAATATGGAAACAAAGCTAATGTAAATAGGGAGGGGTGGAGGGGTTTAAGGAAGAGAAGTGGAAAGTGAAAAAATAAAAACCAAGATATATCATATACAGGTACAAATTCCCAGCAATGAATGTAATAATAATACCTAAAATGTACCAACAAACTTAATGAAGAAAAAGATAATAAACAATTGAGTGGCATTATCACATTTATATCTTAGAAATGCATTATTCAAGGTTAAAGTGCATTTGTGCATGTTATTGCTATAATCCAGATGAAAAATGGTGTGATAATTAATGTGTCAATATGAGTAAGAAATGCTCAGCTGATTGGTTTAGCATAATGCTGGGTATGATTGAATGATGATTTTACTGAAGAGGAAACACCTACCCTGAGTGTGTGTCACCAAACAATAGGCTAATAGCCCGAGTAGAATGAAAAGGGAAAGAAAAAAGAACTCTCGCTTCTGTTTCTTTGGAGAAACTCCAGTCTTCCTCATCACCTTTGGATGTATGTCTCCAAGTTTCCAGTGCAGATTCTTCAGCCTTTCATGGCAGGCCCTTTGGTTTCCTAATACAGTTTCACACAGGACTCTGTAGTGAGCAGCAGGCCTTTGACTTTCAACTGGATCCTCCAGATCTCCAGCTCACAGATGGCCCTTTTGCATTCTTCCGCACCTGACTCTATAAGGAGCCATTGTAAGCCTACCTTATAAACTCTTGTACATATATCACATATAAATACATATATTTATATATCATTATATCTTATATTGATAAACATTTATATATTTCATATTAAATACAAGATATATATCTTATATTAATATATTTATATATCATACATATAGATAGATCTTATATTAAATCTGTTCCTCTAGTGAACACTGAATGTGATCACAACTAGGAGAGTGACAATGGAGGAGAAAAAATTTGGATTCTATCTATAATAAACCCATAGAATTCATGAGCATGAAGAGGAAAAGAAATTTTTAAAAGCCACACAAGAAGACTTCATAGTGGATGGCAATATAGGCCTGTAACAGGAAATGAAGGGGGCCAAGGACTCTAGAGATAAAAGATTTAAATTCTAAAACTAACAATGATGAATTATGCGTTGGACATGTTGTGTTTGAGATGCCTATATCATGTTCCAAATAGAAATGTTCAGTTTGCATGCTGGTAATCAGAAAAATATCTTTATGGTAAAGAAGCAGGACTGTGAATATAAAAGTGCTGTTATGGTTTATATCTAGAACTCCCTCCAAAGCCTCATCTATTAGTAGGTGGGGCTTTTGTGAGGGGGCTGGATCATGGGTATGTGATGCTGGATTAGTGTTTGTCGTTCTGGGATTAAGTATGTGATAACCAAATTGCTTTAGCATAATTCTGGGTGTAGTTATTGGAAGCCCCACCCTAGGTGTGAGTGGTACCAATCAATAGGCTTGTAGCCTTGATGGAATATAAAAGGATAGAAAGAAGTTGGGCTTTGCTGTTTTCTGCTTGCTGATTGCTGCTTCATTGCCTCCTGAACACCTTGCTGTGGACTGTTTCTCCTTTGCCATGTCCCTGTGCCATGCCACCCTGCCTTGTACCCAGCTGAATATGTACTGAAACGTCCACAAACTGTGAAGTGAAATAAATCTTTCCTCTTTTTACTTGTGGCCTTTGAGTATTTTGTCTAACAATGAGAAAAGTAATTTAAGAGAAGTGCTAATTTTGTTTGTTTGTTTTTGGTACCTAGGATCGAACTCAGGACCTTGTGCTTGCGAGGCAGGTACTGAAACCACTGAGCTAAACCCCCGGCCAGAGAAGTGCTAATTTTGGATCTTGGTAATGGAGATGATCATTTTAGACAAATAAGTAAGGAAACTACTGTCTCTTCCTGCTACCGGTACAGCCAGCACAGAAGCATTTCTCAAACACCTTTTTTGTTAACCCATTAGGCTGTATAGATCGAAGTGATGATTTGGCAACTTTAGAGCCCATAATTGTTATGTTGACACAATTAGCATGAAGTAGAATTTTTTTATACTAGATATTCTCTCTTTGATTTTTCAACTAAGGTTGAATAAATTATTGGATCTCAGAGTGTGTAATATTGACATAGAACATTTTTTTCTAAGAATACATAATAGGAAAGATTTTTTTTCTATATATTTTTTCACCTATAGTATATGAGCTGAATTTTCTTCTGGAACAGGAAAAAAATTAGAGTAAATTGAGTTAAGAATACTGTCGTTATTATATGTTATGGGGAAGGAGAATAAGAGTGAGCTAGATACTGTGCGGGGCCAGATGAATGAGGCATATGTCTAACTACTACAAATCCATATGACAATAATTATATAATGGCTACTATAAGACAGGCATTCAGCTAAAAATCACAAGATTCAGATTTTAGTTTTAGGAGCTCAATCTATTATATAACTAGTGAATGGAATTGAAAGTAATAGTTCCCCTTTAGGTGTTTCATCAGCCAAAATACAGAGGCACAGATTTTACTAAGTATATTATAAAGCATGATAGGAAATCCAACACTAGTCTCACAAAACTAAGAGGTCTGCTTTCAAAGACACAGAAAGTTAATTTAATCAAGGTTTCTCATTTTCGAAACTGTGTTTGGAAAAATTTAAGCAGTATGCTTTTTCCCTTTCTCCCTTTTATTGTGGTGGCCTTCCCCACGGGCTTTGTTTTGGGATGTGGTGACTGCTTTTTATTTGGTTTTCTGGGAAGTGGCTGGTAATCTTCACTACATATGAACTCAAGCCAGGAGACCCCTGGAGGCAATCTGTGGTAGCTAAGTACCTCTGCGACTACACAGCCTGAGAGGGCAGATGGGGCAGAGTCTTTAGAAGGAAGGGGTTCAGAGGGTAAGGGAGAAGAGGAAGCAAAAGAAGTTGGAGAAGAGATGGCAGAGGAAATAGAAGAGGAGGAGGAGGAAGAGGAGGAGGAAGAGGAAGGAGATGGGAGCTGGGATTGTGAATGAAAATTACTATTATTTTTAACATAAAACAGCCAGTCAATAGCTTGGGGCTTTTGACTTACAACTTTGTTTTCAGGGGATGCTGCCAACGATCTTTTCTTCACTCCAAGCCCTTGGATGATATCAGATTCAGAAGTAGGGAAAAATTGTGATATCTTCATTTCTTCAAGGCTGTCACTGGGGGGATCTTCAGGCTGATTTTCTTTCACAGGGAGGAGTGGGAGAAAGGGTGAGAAAGAAGTCTTTGGTAGAGAAAGGATAAGAAGCAATTTCACCTCAATTTTCCCCTCAGAATTGGCCCCAGGTGTTAATATGACAAATAGTGTTCCACAATGAGGATCTTTTTTTCCTGTGAGATAGTTACATGGAGATTTTTATACAGGAAGCACAAGATAAACAAACTGTGTAAATTGATAAAAGGCAGGGGCCAGGACAAGGATTTGGCCTTCCCCTCATCCTTTGAAAGAGAATCTGTCTAGAGAGACCCTTTTGGATTCTGGTCTTGGAGAGAGAATTGATAATCTTGTTTACAACACAATCAGGAACAGTTCCACCTTTAACAATGCAGGGATGACTATAATGTAGAGTCTATGGAATTTCTTTACATAATTCTGTCCTTGCACTAAAATCAAAGCTGCTTTCACTCTGGAGTCCAGACCCCCATGTTGAAGCAGCTGTACTCTTGATGCAATGTTCAGTGCTTGATAATGACTGGCCTGGGCCATTTGGTTTGGGGTGGGATGGTGGCAGTTCTGTGGCTGTGTGTTTGTCATTTGGTGAAGTGGTATTTTGAAACTTGGAATGACAGATAGGTGAGCTGAGGATCTGGAAGTTATGATCAAGTGTAAGTAATGACTGAGATTTGGGCTGGAACACTCATAAACTCTGAGACCTGTGAACAGAGTGCAATAAAGGTGGTTTCCTTAATTTCATGTGGGATAATGGTAAACTCAGAACACTGGGATTATAGGTCAATATAAGCATTTTCTGAGGTCTGGAATCCTATAGTAGTGAATTTAGAGCCATCTGACCGCACTCCAAGGAATGTGATGTCTGTAGAAAGTTGTTTGTTTGAGGTTTGGTGTTGAGTGATGGTGAGCTCAAAGATGTTTCCTCTTCTTTTTTTTGGTACAGGGGATCAAACTTGGGACCTTGCACTTGCGAGGCAGGCGGCAGAACCACTGAGCTAAATCCCCAGCCCTTCAAAGATCTTTCATTGTGTACCAATAAAGATGTCCAAAAACAATACAATGAAGATGTTTTCTGAGATTTGAATTGAAGTAATGTTGATTTATTGGCTTTCTGATTGGGTCTCGAAGAGGCCCACATGATATTTAGTAGAGGTGTTTCTTGATGTTGGATATGAGACAATGATGAACTTGAAACTTTTTGGTTAGACTTTAGTAAAGGTGATGTCCAGTGAAAGTCTAGGCTTGAAGATGTAGTCTGAGGGTTGGGTAGGGGTAACTGTGAGCTCAGGGATGTTTCGTTCCAATGATGATGGTGATAATGTCTTGTTAAGGTCAGATGAAGATGTCTGAAGTTTAGGGCGTGATAAAGATTAGTTCAAGGCTTTCCCAGTGGGATGCAGTGATTTTCTCCTGTGGTCTAGTGAGGGAGTGACCGGGCATTTGGAGTGGGATAGCTGTAATTTTGTGGCCTTATTATTGAAGTCCTGTGACATTTTTACTTGATACTTGAGAGAAGGCAATATTGAACTGCTCTGGACTATTTGGTTATAGTTTAATGGAGGTGCTTCAAGGTTATTGCTATGGGACTGTACTTTGGCCACAGGTTGGTTACTGAGCTGATTTAGTGTTTTAGCATTGTATTGATGTGTTATTGAATTGGTTGTGGCCAGGTGGTAAGAGTGGTTTAATGGTACAAAGTGTTGATCATAGTATTCATATGGCACCGTGTTGTGTGACACAGAGGTCTTTCGTAAAGCAATTGGCTTATGGAGATGTTTTAGTAACTGTTAGAGACTAGATTCCATACACAATAGATATGTAAATAAATACTATTGAGTAGTTTCAAATTTTATCTTGTAACTTCACTGTCAATTTCCCAAAATTATAGAATGACTCAAGATTGAGGTACAGATGAGATTGAGGTGGGAAGAATAATCATTTGAAATTGCCTTGTCTTCTCTTTAATTTCCAAGAGTTTTTTTTCCTCCTGAGGAAATAATGCCTGTTAACAAAATAGTGAAGAGAGTTCAAAAGAAGTCCTGATTAGGCTATTAATTTTCTTAAATTACATGTCATCACAACTAGAGCAGAGGCTTTATAACACACTCATTATGTGAATCCCACCCACTTAGTTTGTCTTTTGAATTCCTCTTCCTAAATCTCATTTACCCATCTGTAAATAGATAAATATAATAATTTATTGAACTAAAGACTAAAAAAGTACATCTAAAACATCTAACAGTGCCCGTACATAACAAAATATACTATCACTGTTACTCTTTTAATTGTTCCAGTCATTTAAAAAAATCTGTGATAAATTTCTCATGTGAAACAAGTGAATCTTACAGAAAGGTGAAATAGAAATTCAAAACTGTTAGCTCTCAATGTAAGTGCAGTTACCCACCATTATCACCTTTTACTTTACTTTCAATTACATGTATATGTGTGTGTGTATTTCAAAAACAATTGCTTTTCAGTCTTTTATTTGACACCATTATAACTTTGAAACCCTTGACTACACCCCTTTAAAACTATTGTCCTACTGATGTCCACTATGTCTTTTTTCTCTGATCTTTCCAAGCATTCACAAAATTATTTTCTTTTGCTTTCTTTCCAATATAATGCTGTTATATCACAAGTTTTCTTTCAATTTCCTTACTAAAAAGTTGCATTACTGTAGCAATGTTTAGGATTTGAGAATAACCTATAGAAGCTTCATAAAAGATAGAACCTTTTAGATGACCAAAAATGATACTAGCATCTATTAATCAAGTAATACAGATACTCTGTTTTCTTAAGGGACCATCTAGTGCGACATGACACACTATTTTATTTTTCATGGTCAAGGTTGCCTTTTTATATTTTAAAACCAAGACACATGATATGATCTTTTTAAAAGTTGCAAGTAATAACAATAGATCCTGGGATTGGTCAATTAATTTCTTGGCCTTAAAATGTTAAGAATGGAAACTGTCACAATGCGGTTTCATGATTCTTCCATGCTTCTAAGATTTATCAAAATATTGGTTTTTTATTTTTATAATCTGACTTCATTTTCATGTTTCTCGCTATTTTTGTTATTTTAATTTCACTTATTTAATTTTAAGGAATTAAATAATTTGCGATTATTTAATTTATACAAATTAAATAATTTGCATTTATGGAGTACATTACAATAACTTGCACATGTATATAATATGTAATGATTAAATCAGAAAAATTCACACTTTCAATTCTTCAAGTACTGTATATGTTCAGAGAGCCTGAAAACACTTCTCCTATAGTTATTGTAATTTATATAATAAATTGGTGTACAGTAGTTAGCTTACAATGCTATAAAGCATGAGATATAATTTCTCCTATTTAACCTCTTCCAATCCCTCTTCCCTCAGTTCTTACCAACTCAATATGTTTAAAAATAAATTTTATTTTACTTTATCCCTTTCCCCCCTCAAGCCCCCTCCCCTCCCTATGCACAAAAGCTTTGTTTCCATTTTTCCTTCTAATTTCACTTTTTTCTTGTCCCTTCCTTTCTTCCTCCCTCCTCCCTTGTTCCCCTTCCCATTTGAACACTTTCTTCCCATTTCCCAATATCCATTATACATTTCAGTCCTTATTTCCACTTTCTATTTCTCATACCAGAGAAATGATGTGGTAATTAAGCATATATGTCCAATTTATTCCACTTAAGAATATGATCTCAAGGTCTACCCATTTAGCTATAAATGTCTGAAGCTTATTGTTCTTTATGGCAGAGTAGTATTCCATTGTATAAAAAAACACATCTTCTTTATTCACTCATCAGTTGATGGGCATTTGGACTATTTCCAAGATTAAGCTATTACAAACCGTGCTTTTATAAACATGGGTGTGGATATACCCAACTCAGTTTTTAATGAACAAATTTATTCCTCATGTATGTAAATTATCCAAATAATTTAGAACCAATTCTATTACTGCTATAAAAATTTCCCTTTTTTCAAGGTGGCTTTTCACATGCTTAATCTTTCTATTTGCACGTAGGTAAAAACATATCTTCCTGATTTACTTGTTTTTAAATCTTGAATCATTCCTCATAGAATTCCTCAGGAATCAATATTTTTATACTAGAAATTGAACCCAAGGCCTCAGAGCTACATTACCAGCCCTTTTAAAAAAAATACTGAGGCAGGGTCCCAATAAATTTCCCAGGATGGCCTTCATCCTCCTGACTCATGCGCTGCCACATCCAGCCAAGTACCAATATTATACATCAGTAACTTCCTAAATGTTTCTCTAATCTTGGTTTTCTCCTGAGCTTCAAAATTGTATTTTAAGGTAATCATTTAACACAAAACACTTAATTCAATTCACATCTCTTTCTAGAGAAAATCTCTTCTTATGTCTTCAATCTCAGTTCCTAAGAGTTGTCTATTCAGCATCTTTGAAAGAATCCCTGACAGTTTCACCTTCCAAAGCCTTTAAACATCAAGGATTGCTGATTTTACCTCCTCTTTATCTTCATCGGTCATTTTCTTTCTAACTTCATTGTTTTACTCTATAAGACAGGCACATCTTTTCTAGATTAATATATTAGCACAGTCACCTTTATATCTCCTTTCCTTTTTGCTGCAATATTTCTTTCCCAATTTTCCTCTGTCAGACATTTGAGAGCTAACTTTTGCTGGTGAGATACCTCTTCAATTTACCCAAGACTTCCCTTACTTTGTATAACATCTGCAGGAGTAATAAACATAGACTTTTCTTATAATTGCTGGATTTGATATGGTGTGATTTGATCCTTAATGCCATAAAAATGGAAGCAAATCTGCACCTCACAATATATTGTATGGCACCTTAATCTTAATCTAGAGGATAAAACAAAATAACTTCTAGGCCAGGGATTTAGCTCAGTGGCACAATATCTGCCTGGCAAGTGCGAGGTCCTGAGTTCAATCCCTGGTACAAAACAAAACAAAACTTCTAGACTTTGGGAAATTAAAAGATTTCTTAAACAGAGCAGAAGGAAAAGTAATCATAGGGGCCAGGGATTTATCCCAGTGGTGCCATGCCTGCCTCACAAGCACAAGGTCCTTAGTTCAATCCCTGGTACTGAGCAAAAGAAAAAACAAATCATTAAAATGATAAATTAAATCAAGAACT